TGCTTCCCAAGCACCTTCTCCTGGACATGATTAATCTCGTGTCTACTGCTGCCCTTGAGCCATCCCAGCCCACTCAGGGTGAACCTGTGGGTCAGAGTACATGTGCCCCAAAGGGCTTCCTTGGCCACCACCCTTACGTTGAGTTCCCCAGGCCTTTTCTTCCTGAGTTGGAACCACCAAGCCTTAGGTCAGCTGAGCTCAAAGCATGTGACCAGCAGCAAGACTCCTTTCTGGCTGTTCTGGGCGGGCGTTTCACAGACACATCATGGTTTCAAGCAGTATGGTTTCAAGTTCAGCCGTGTCACCCCTGCTTATTGCGGCACGGGTACAACGCATTCATCCAGTCTTCAGCACATGGACCTGTGAGAGGATCATTAACTGCGGCTATGAACCATTGTAATCAAGTTTTACAGACGGATAGCTCTTAAACCAGCATACTGCTCCAGGCAATCCAGTGTCTCTGTAGGATAAACGCTGCACTGGCAAACACAAGGGCAGCAGTTTGAGACTGCCAGTCGCCTCTAAGGAAGAAAAAGGCTTTCTGCTCCCGCAAAGAAATCCTACTAAGTGTCCATAGGAATCAGAACCGAGTTGATGACATTTAACAAGAACAACAAAGCTACACTATTGTTTTCAGATGAGCTCATTGGATATGTGAGATGGGGTGAGGGGTGGGGACAGTGAGGGATGGGGGTGAGGGGTGGAGGTAATATGAGATGAGGGTGAGGGGTGGGGGAAGTGTGGGGTGGGGACAGTGAGGGATGGGGGCGGGGGCGAGGGGGAGGACAGTGACAGATAGGGGTGAGGGGTGGGGGAACAGTGAGGGAATTGGGTGAGGGGTAGAGGGGCAGTGAAGGATGGGGGTGAGGGGACAGTGCGGGTTGGTGATAGTCAGTCAGGAAGGGACCTGAGAGTCCTGGGGTTATCAAATACAGAGAACAAACGTTAACATTTAACCAAACTCTGGCTTTTCAACAAGCCACCAGAGGTCTCCCACCTGGAGCTCTCCCACTCCTGGTCGTCCTTGTCCTTCTCGTCTTTGCTGTCACTGGTGTGTGGGTGTTTCTGCACTATTCGCATCCCGCCGGCTCTCACTGAAACAGAAAGGGGGTGGGGGATGATTCATGTGGACATGGAGGGCTGACCACAGGCCAATCTAGAGAAGTACCTCGGGCACCAGCAGTGTGTGGGAGACAAGACCATGCGCTCTCCACATGAAATGTCCCTAGCCTGGGCTGCTGCTTTTGGTCAAGTGCTTCTCCAGAGCAGTGTTGACATCAAGCAAACAGCCAGTGATGCTGGCTCCAACATCCTAATACAACAAGGGCCCGCTCAAGTCCTGCCCTGAGATGTTTCCTCAGAAGACTGAGGACGCTTAAAAGTGTGCTCACAGTTATCAGGGCAGTTACTGGGTCAGGGCCACCAAGCCCAGCAGGAACAGCAGCTGGCTTCTATGGCCTTTGAAAGCCTGTGGTGGTGTTACTAAGTAAGCGCCCTTGACTTGCTAAGGACTCCTAGGGACCCTGTAGTTTCTGAGGAATGGCTCTTGGGCTTGAACCACTGACCTGCTGGTTAACAGTCCAGTGCTTACCCTACAGTGCCACACCAGGAGTCTTCTGAAACTCTAGTAAGTGCTGTTTCCAAACCAGCTGCTGTTGAGTTGATCCTGACTCAGAGAGCACTTACAGGGCAGAGTCCAACTCCCCCCAGGGTTTCCTAGGCGGAATCTTAGGAAAAGGAACCCTGGTGGCTCATTGAAGAGTCGGTGGTTCAAACACATCAGCTCTTCCTTGGAAAAAAAACTCTGTTCCCAGACCGATCACAGCCCAGGGAAATCAGATCCTACAGAGTCTTACCAAGTGGAATCAACTCGATGGCACACTACAATCTTTACACAAGCAGATCGCTGTTGGTGGGTGTGACCCACCCATCATGTGGTTAGCAGTCAAATGTTTTACCAAATGCCACCAGGGCGCCGGTTGTGAGTGTGGGTAGATGTTAATTCTGCTTATTCAGTGTTTCCTCATATACGATTCATACAGCTCCCTCATTTCAAGGATACAATTCAGTGTTTTATGAACATATTCACAGTATTATACAGTGGTTATCACAAATGACTGTACAACATTCTTATCACCTTAATAGGAAATTCCATGTCCCATAGCCCCCCACTCCCTTCTCCTGGTGCTAGCTGTATGCCATGGAGTTGGTTCTGACTCATAGTGACCCTGCACAGGGTTTCCCAGGCTGTAAATCTTTACAGGATCAGAAAGCCTTTCCCATGGAACGGCTGGAAGTTTCAAACTGCTGACCTTGCGGTTCGCAGCCTGACTTGTAACCACTTTGCTTCCCAAGCACCTTCTCCTGGACATGATTAATCTCGTGTCTACTGCTGCCCTTGAGCCATCCCAGCCCACTCAGGGTGAACCTGTGGGTCAGAGTACATGTGCCCCAAAGGGCTTCCTTGGCCACCACCCTTACGTTGAGTTCCCCAGGCCTTTTCTTCCTGAGTTGGAACCACCAAGCCTTAGGTCAGCTGAGCTCAAAGCATGTGACCAGCAGCAAGACTCCTTTCTGGCTGTTCTGGGCGGGCGTTTCACAGACACATCATGGTTTCAAGCAGTATGGTTTCAAGTTCAGCCGTGTCACCCCTGCTTATTGCGGCACGGGTACAACGCATTCATCCAGTCTTCAGCACATGGACCTGTGAGAGGATCATTAACTGCGGCTATGAACCATTGTAATCAAGTTTTACAGACGGATAGCTCTTAAACCAGCATACTGCTCCAGGCAATCCAGTGTCTCTGTAGGATAAACGCTGCACTGGCAAACACAAGGGCAGCAGTTTGAGACTGCCAGTCGCCTCTAAGGAAGAAAAAGGCTTTCTGCTCCCGCAAAGAAATCCTACTAAGTGTCCATAGGAATCAGAACCGAGTTGATGACATTTAACAAGAACAACAAAGCTACACTATTGTTTTCAGATGAGCTCATTGGATATTTTGGATTAAGGTTTACAAATGGTCTCAGAGAACAGTCCCAGGCGATCTCTCCCAATCTCCATGGCTTCAGGAAGTCTGGAGTGCATGAGACTTGAAATTCTGTACCACATTTCCCCCATTTTGTTCAGGATTCATCTTCGAATCTGTTATCACCATGTTCAGTACTGGGAGGCAGACCCCAAGCATTCGTCGGGGCAGCAGTGAGCCACACACACACGGTGCCCTCCTCCTAGTCCTGCCTCCCCCTTTCCATAGTGATCCAGGGCAAGGGATGGACACACACACCGTTGGGCCTTGTATGGTGCCCATCTACTGAGTTTTATTTCAATCATTTCATTTTTTAAAAAATGTCTAGATGTTTTTTCTTCTCAAATTAATCTAGTCTTTTTTTTTTTTTTTTTTGACTAGGGACACTTCTTTCCTCATGTTTTCAGTTATTTTAGATCCTTAGATTTTCCCATGCATACTGCTGCCAGCTGGGTATGTGTGTACTAGGGACACTGGAGGCTGTGCACTGGGGAGACAGGAGGAGCAGTGGTTAAGTGCTCAGCTGCTAACCACAAGGTTGGTGGCTGGAACCCACCAGCGTCCCACTTGAAGAAATGCCTGGTAATGTGCCCCCACAGACGATGGCCTTGAAAACTCTATGAAGCAGCCGCACAATCACATGGGGTCGCTATGAGTCGAGCAGCTATTTGGCGGACCCTACCAACCTGCTTCCTGCTCATGCATATGAATTTTCTGTTCCATCTTTGCTTTGGTCTAGGGGATTTCCTTTACTTTGGAGCTCAGATAAAAACAATGAAAGTGAATGCTGCATTTTTAGGTATTTTGTTGTTTTTATTTTTTGTATCAGTATTTTCCTGTTGTGTGGTCAGCCACACCTTTGGAAATGGAGCCTGTGAATAACATCTGGCTGTTGTTTTGTTCTGTGAGGTCCTCTGTTGTGTGCTCTGTCTGCCAATTTGATTCCTGCTCTTGTGCAGGAGGGGCTGGGCCCTGGGAGTCTGTCTCCAGCAGGGTCTTAGCTGTGAGAATCCACAGCGCTGGAGGTAAAGGAGCATCCTTTTGGAGAGATGCTGTAAATACTTCTGCCAGACCCAGAGTAGGGTGACAGGAATCTTTTTATTTCAGGTCAGGTTTCTCAGAATAGAATTTCCAGACCAAACTGTAAATTTAAACTCCCAGCCCACAGAAGAGCAAGCTTATATTTATGCATTCTCAAGAATCCTGAGTTCAGGCTGATGTGGACCACAGATGTGTGAATGTTTCCATTGTGGGTGCATCCTAGAAGAATCGCCCCAATGAACATTTCTTTAAAATTGTTTTTGGGGCTGTGTTGTCAGTTCGAACTCAGGGCAACTCCACATGTGTCTGAGGAGAAATGTGATCCACAGGGTTCTTAGTGACTTACTTTTCTGGGAAGTTGATCACCAAGCCATTCATCTGAGTTGCCTCCAACCTCTCAGTGAGGAGCTAAGAGGACTACCTTTTGGCCCGCCCAGGGATTCCCCTCTACTCCACTCCTATACCAGGCCAGTAAGAAATTGATTAAAACAAACCCAACACCATCCAGTCGACTCCAACTCCTACCGACCCTGCACAGGGTTTCTGGGACTTTAAATCCTTATGGGAGCAGGTAGCCTTATCTTTCTCCATTGGAGTGACTGGTGGGTTTGACTCGCCAATCTTGTGGTTAGCAATCCAGTGCTTACCCTACAGCACCAACAAAAACACCACCAAACCCCACTGCAATCAAGTCGGTTCCAACTTATCATGACTCTGCATAGGATTTCTAAGGCTGTAAATGTTTACAGGCGCAGAAAGCCTCATAGTGGGTCTAAACTCCTGACCTTGTGGATAGCAGTCCAGTGTTTATCCTCCAGCACACCACAGTGTCACCAGAGTTTCTTAATTAAAATACCTGCTTGAAATGGTCTGAATGTTTTCAATGTCATAGCTAGACATAAAACACTGAAGCTCTAACTCACAGCTGTGTTCCGTAAACTAACTAAAAGTAAAAAGATCTGTGTAACTAATGACAAAGAAAACCGGTGACGATGTCCAGGTGACATCATCATGTCGTCCTAGGCTTGAGGAGCAGCTGGCCCATTCCTGGGTGCTGTAAGTCCACAATGTCAGGGCTGAGTCACCCAGCAGTAATGCTGCCATTTAATCTAGTTTATAAAAACAATGAACTTCATTAATACCTCACAGTAGGCTTGGTGATTAATGCGGTAATAATAATAACTCAGTGCTGGAGACAGATTCATTGTAACTTGCAACACTGCCAAAAATTATGACAGCACATATTTGTTTGGATTGTTTTACCATTGTCTCTCCAACTCTTCGTGAGTAAAATGGCAATTGCAGGATGACTTTTGTAGAAATCTTTGCGGAATCATTTACCAGTGCAAGCATTTCTACGAGAGACAGGAGAAGAGAAAGCAGACTAGGAATTCTGTTGGGTGGGCCTACTGAAACTGCACAGCTACCATCCGGTCGACCCCGACTCAGTGACTCCATGTGTTGGAGGAGCACTGTATTCCATACGGTCTTGACAGCTGAGCTGTTAGAAGTAGATGGCCAGGTCTTTTTTCCAAGGTGCTTCTAGGATGGACTTGAACCTCCCACCTTTAGATTATCAGTTGAATGTGTTAACCATTGCTACCACCCAGAGGTCCATATTCAGAGCCGTTCTCCACCTTTAAAGCCAAACTGGCCTCCTCTCAGCAGCAGTGCTGGGCAGAGCTGAAGGGCAGGGGTCCAGCCTCTCGTGTGTCTGGACGAGCAAAGCACTGAAGCTCACTGTACCTTCGTGCCATGAATCTGTATGCAAAAGGTGACGCTGCTCCTCCCTCCCAGGGGACCTGAGGGTTAAACCGGTTTGCACACAGGAAGGGCAGCAATGGTTAGCTACTCTCATGTTGTTGTGACGTGCCGTCAAGTCGATTCTGACTCCTAGTGACCCGGTATGGGGTTTCCGAGGAGCACCTGCTGTGTTTGAACTGCTGACCTGTAAGTTCACAGTCCTGAGCTGATCCTACAACGTCACTCCAAGAGTCCAGCTACTCTTATAAACACATTGAGAGAAA